ATTCATTGATCACATGCATATGTGAGTCAATTGAAGGACTAAGGAATTAGGCACACTGGGTGTGTGCTGGTCAAGGTCCACCACAAAGATCAATTCGTCATGATTTACTAAAGATTAGTAAATATGGTTATACTTATAAGGTTAAGTATAATTCTGTAACATTGGAAAAGTTTCAATGTATGGCAGAACGGATGAGAAGAATCAAATTTGGCAGAAAGATAAAAGTTTCTCAAATCTGAAAAGATGGGAGAGTACTTTAGTATCATGTTTTTATGATCATCTTAATGATTATGAAACCATATCACAAATTCATACTCTAAGGACATCTTAGTGCATTGTTATGACTAAGATGAGGGGTCATGAATTGTTGGAATGGTTAAAATCAAAAAGATGGATCATACATGTTTTTATGATCATCTTAATGATTATGAAACCATATCACAAATTCATACTCTAAGGACATCTTAGTGCATTGTTATGACTAAGATGAGGGGTCATGAATTGTTGGAATGGTTAAAATCAAGAAGATGGATCATACTTCGTTCCAAAACAACTCTTAGAGTCATAATCCAAGATTGTAACATTGAGTGACATAAAGTAAGGTTTAAAACACTTATCAAATGTAGTGTAAAATGTTTTCTACTCCTGTACATTTGAAATTGGTAAGTTGTGATGTCTTGGATAAGACAAAGACCAACTAAGACCAATTGTGTGAAGTGTTTATCTTGATAAGAATCTGCACTATCCCTTGAATATTTGTTTTGTCAAGGAATGGTTCTTGACTAGGGAAACTTATATGTCAAGAGGACAGTGGGAGTCTTAAAGATCCTGAATGGATTTCAAGATTTAATCAAGAGTAAAACCTGAGTTTTATCACTAGCACACGACTTAAGGTTTGCAACCTATTAAGTTGACATAATTCTTGTTTCTGTGTATGTTCCTATTAAGTTGACTATGCATATGAGTTTTGTTAGTTCTAAACTGTGTGCATAACAGCTTGGAAGCATTGGTGGGCCTTGTGCTACCAGGTGACAAGAAATTAAGATTGAACAAGTTCAATCCATGTAAGGCTAATTTGTCACTAACCTTGTCTTGTGATTATGGTTTTGACAAATTCACATGGATAGAAACTCATACACTATAAAATCTAAGTGTCATAAGGTTTCTCTCCGATTCATGAAAATGATGGTGAGGAAATGCTTTCACTAAGAAGATTTTAAGTAGATAGCAATTGTGATGTTTGCATTCTCAAAGTCGTTAGTGGAGCGTGTGTGGTTAACCGGCACACTAACATGGACTTGTGAGAAATGACAAAGGTCTAAACAATTAAGACTATGATTACGGCATCCCTTTTCATAGTTCTGGAAATTGTTTAGACACACATGTGAGCTATCTAAGAAAGGGTGTACGAATCTAAATTTCAGAAGTCCAGCTGATTTCTGGAAATATGTCAGAGCTAGTGGGAGCATAAGTGTTATGCTGATAATCATCATGTTAGTGGGAGCATGATTATTATGTTTAGTGTTGCAAGTTAGCAATGTTAATTATAGAAAACCAAAAGTTTCAATTCGTAAAGTTGTAGGGGTTGAAAAGTTGTTTTGCTATAATTAAGGGAGAGGAAATTATACTTCATTTCAATTCTAAAAGCTTAGATTGAGTTTTTAATCATCTTTAGTCAAGGATATATATATGTATTTTATGTTGGAATGGTTCAACTTAAAGAAATTCTATATATATTGCGTTATCAAAATTCGATTATGATCACGACATCCCTCTTCATAGTCGATTTTTGAAAACATGGAAAATAAAAAAATATATTGTAGCAAAAGACTGATCCAGTATCAGGTCTTTATGTGAGACATCGTGAATCGTGTCCCATATGCTTTGGGTATAGGATCGGTCACATGTGCTATAATATTTATCCTTTCTAAATTTTCCAAATGCTCAGAGCATTAAGAAGGGAAAAGTCTAGAATTGGATAAGACTAAAATGATTAAGCAATTGTCGAGGACTATCTAAGGCTCACCAAAGATTGGTTGCTCAGGGACAGTTGGAAGTATAGTGTTAAATTTTGGAAGGACCATATGGATATATTCTGAAAAGAGGTAGCTCTTGTTCAGATATGATAATCAAAATAGGAATATGGAAATTTTCCATATTGGGAGTTGGATATTAAGAATCTATGAGAAAGTTAGAAACTTTTATGCAAGAAGGATGTTCAAAGCAATGTACTTTGAATATGAGAGTTCGTTTCCATAGAGTTGATCTCCTTTGGAATCCTCTGTAATGACTGATGACAAGGTTTTGGTGACCTTGTGCATAACCATTACGAGAGGATCAGTGTATATAAGTTTAAAATCTAACAGTTTTTTTTTGGTAAATGGTAGGAATTAGGAATTTTTACATTTACAATAAGGATTTGGGATTGTGAAATGAGCATCATTGGAATCATGTTCAAATGATCTATTTCACAAAGTAAAGATCATACACAAACATAGTGTGCATACTTGGAGTATGGCATAACTATTGTTTAGAAAAACAAAGTGTACATGCTAGGAGCATGGGACAACTGTTGTTTTTATTCAAGTATTAAGTTGATTATTTGGAACATTATACAATGAATAATGTGTAATCAATATGGTGATAAATAAAAGGTGGTTTTATTTATATTCAAAAGGGTTCTGAGACCATATTGGATTCGATTATTATTGTGTTTCACTTTGCATGTTTTGACTTCCAGAATAGCTAGGTTATTCTTTCCGAATGACTAAGTTATTTAAACACTCCACAGTCATTCATATGTTGGAAATAGGTATGAATTAAGACTGTCATGAATCAAGTTTGTAGATGGCTAAATGTGTTTAGTCATAGAAATGGTTGCTACAACATTCATGAGTGCTCATAAGTTATGAGTATTGGAATTAACCCACGCTCACTTGTATCACTTCATGGAATTTATCTCGAGTGATCGTGAGACGATAATATCATATAAGTCTTCAAACCTAGAGATATGAGTTGTTACCTATGAATTGGTTGTGCATTGATTGCACGTAAACGCATCAGTAACTTGATGTTATAAAACGTGCCTTTGTGTACAATTCAACAAGTAGTAGAACAAGCATATGAGTCGAAGTTTATCTGTTCCTTCTAGAAATAGAAGCGATATCTGGGCCCCTCGATGATTTTGTTTTGACCTATGTACCGGGACCCGGTCAGAACCTAATTGATGTGTTCAATTTAGTTCTTTGTCAAACAAATCGGAAATCGGGAAACAAACTGTTGGACAATAAGTACGACGTTGTTCCATGTATTTGTCCGGCTGATATCATGAGAACAGAGGATTATATGATCACTTATCTAAAATGGCGCTTCATAGTTCAACAGAGTTTTCGAGAGCTACGATTGCTGGTTGGTTCCTGAAGTAACATACGCAAATACAGTTATTAGACTTATCCAAGTGGGAGACTGTTGGATAAGGTGTCTAAGTCCATAACTTATTTGGTATATACTTGACCCGACCCGGCATGGTCCATTTGGGTTGCACTTCACCCAAACTGTTTATGGATAATTTTATGAGAATTGTATACTTACGATTTATTAATATATTATAAGTTATAATATATTAATATAAAGTCATGTTATTTAATTAGTTTTAATCTTGAATTAATTATGAATTGATTTAGTGATTAAAAGGAATACTAATTAAATCATGGGCTATTATATTTATATGGTGTGGGCTAATGCTCATTTGTTAATGGGCTAAGCTTATATGGAAGTCCATGGATGATCCATGGAGCTTTTAACCCATGGATCCTTGGAAGAGGAAAAGACATGGGTTATTAGGGTTTCACCCTAACCATGCACACTATATAAACAAGCTTATGTTGCATGAAAAACACCCTAGTGTGTGTGTAATAGTGGTGGCCGAAATCTAAGAGTTAGTATACTCTCTCATACATTTTCCAAGTTTGTGGTGATTTGTGATTTCCATTTGAGGCATTCACATTATTGGTGCTTGGCTCTCAAACTCCAAGGAATCAACAATCAACAAAAGGTATGTAATTCATCTAGTTCTTTTATGTTTAAAAGTACCCCATGCCATGCTAGATAGGTTATAAACCTTGGAAAATAATATATTGCATGTACCTTAGACAAACATAGATCCAAGGTTTATTAGGGTTGCATGTACACTTAGGAAGTGTTAGAATGCTCAAAACCCAACAGTAAGTTCAGCCCAAAGTGTTCGTTTGTCTGTGACAGCTTGAGGGTCATAGACACTCACAAATGTTGTTATACCTGGTACTCCCTTCCAATGTCCCGATACTGCTATATAGTGCCTCGAAGTGATAATGTTGATTTTTGAGAAGATAGTCGTGTCCCATAAACAACATAAACCACCCGACCTACCTGTTGGATTAACTGCTACATAATCAAAATCGGTTGCACCCCAACATCCTACAAAGTCAATTTGGTTGAATTCTGCAACTCTTGTCTCTTGAATACCAATGAAGTCAATCTTGTGAACATGTTTTAGTTTTCTGATCCAATCTACCTTGTGGGATTCACCCACCCCCCTTATATTTAGGCTTAGGGAATTCATTGGAGACCAGATGTAGCCCCGTCAACTCCAACCATGTTGGGAGCATTCCCATCCAACATTCCAATGCAATCTTCGTTGATCTGAAATCCGACATCATTCCCAATCTTAATTAAACTGACGATCTTCGTTGAGGAAGAACATTCACCGACATCCGAGTGTGAAGGGTTAGCAATGGAGATGTTTAGGTCAAAGGTGGGAGTTTTATTGGGAATTAATGATGGAATCGGGACAGAAGAAGCATTTGGAGGGGCTTCAAATTCTGGAAATAGACTGCGAGCAGGAAGAGAGCTAAATAACTCACCACGATCATATTTGTCAAACTTTCTTTTCTTGGTCTTTGATCTTCCAGCATCGAGAAGATCTGGCACCATGATGTCCCCCGGATTACTAGATGGTGGGCCTAATGGAGTATGGGGCAAATAATAGGGGAAGGCCCAATTAATATATTTTGAACTTGTCCAACAGGTTGTGGGCCAATACTATCCTCTGGTGCAACGGTTGAATCTGCATTAATATTCAAATTGGAGTGAAGGTTTGAAGCCGAGTTTAATTTCCCAGATGACTTTTCACCTCCTGCATTAAACGTAGGGCTTACCGTTTCGATGTTCCTCGTCTTTTCTGCAACTGCCGGCACCGGTGATTCGTCACCCATCGTCCTTGCATCGTCATTTTCTCCGATCAATTCAGATTCCATAATTATTTCCCCCTCTTCTACTTCTTGTTGGTTATTATGGCCCCACGTTTCTGATATACCATCGACGTCTGAATCGGAGAGTTCGTGATCCTCCACGTCCCCATTATTCACCTCATTATGGATTGATTCCTCTGAGTCGGATTCATAATATTTGGAAAAAGGTTGCCATACGTCCTCACATTCAGCCACACCAACAGTGTATGATTTCCCATTGAATAAGCAATTGACTACCTTGTTGATTGGTAATTTGTCTCCAGTAATGATTCTAGCAAAGGCGCACGAGAGATCGATAGTGTGCCAATTCTGACTTCCGTCGACTTCAATGATGTTTCCAATGTTACTTAATACCGATTTAACATTCTCTTCCGATCTCAGGTAGATTGGAGGACCGATAATTTTTACCCTAGCAATTCTTTCAAATGGGTTATCCTCCATGATTCCAGGTTTTAGCCATTTAAATCACCTGTTCCAGATATGATCGTTCTTTAGATATCCCATTGCGTATTCATGGAAGAAGAATTTCAGTACAACTTTCAAACCACCGGCATAATATACGCGACACGGGATTTCCCCGTCTGCATTGAGTAACTTGGGAAGGTTGCTGAGGTGTTGGAAACACTTGACTTCGCCCAAGAGAAGTGCAGAATATTCCATTGCGGCGACCCGATGTAGATGCACCACTGGATTCGGTGAAGGTGATGGAGTGTTATTTTTGCCAGAGACTGCTTCAGCAAAGGATCTTCCTGCGATAATTTTTTTCCACCCACCAGTATGGGCATGTCTTATTTCCTCCACTTGTTTGTCTTTTCGGGACGTTTGCACATGCCTCATGTGGGTTGGCTTCTTTCCGTACTTGGCGATGTTCACCTTCACGATACAGTGACCACATCTGATTTGATTCATCGATTCAAGCATTGCCTACGCGTTCAAGAAAAAGTATGAACCCGATTTATCCTTTCTTCCTGGAATGTAAATATCATGGATCTTCCCAAATTTCCTGAACGATTTGTCAAGCACCTCTGTGGTTGTGTCCTGCTGTCTGTTTGATACATAGAAGGAAGTGATAGTCTTCTCTCCATTTGTTTTCCTCCGGCGACCTTCCTTCCTGCTAAACCCCTGCTTCCTCTGTTGGACCTTTCATATCCCTTGGGAGCATTTTAGGAGTCACCGTTATTAGGCAGGATTACAATATACGTATTAATGAGTAACTATGTCTATAAGTAATAACCTCTTATTTGAAAGGGATCACTTAAATCATAATTTCTAACATTTCATCGATTAAGCCGATAAAATCCAAGTTTGTCATAATATATGCTTAAACTAAATATGAGCTCTTCATAATGAGAAAATAATAATAATAATAATAATAATAATAATAATAATAAAGGTTAACATTGATTTTAGGAAATAAACTATTTAAAATGTCTTCAAACATACCAACAAATCTAACCAAATATGTAGAAACCCAAGAGACTTATGTTCTTATCTTTTGACTTGCTATGAACTATTCCAAGTTACACATATATTAACAAATTATTTGCAATGTATAAATTTAAAATTTTATTACAATTTGATCTGATCGAACATCCAAACTTTTTCTTTTTCTAAACCCATCTCAAAATTAGTTTTTGTTTTCACATTTATATGAACACATTTTTATAAATAATAATAATAATAATAATAATAATAATAACTATTACTTTCTTTTTTTTTATATTTTTGCAACTTTTTTAAATAATTCTTTAGAATTTTTATTAATTTTCTACAACTTTTTTATAAAAAATTTAAACATTTTTAAGACTTTTTATACAAAAAATTTTAAAACTTTTTAACACTTCGATCTTTTTATTTTATTAACTTTTTTACTTACGTTTTTTAAATGTTATTACTTAAAATTTTCAAGTTTTCTTCAAAACTTATATTTCATTTATCATTTTTTAAAATTTTTTACTTACATTTTTTCACGCTTAAAATACTTTTACTCTTTATTTACAAAAAAATATTTATAAAAGCTTTCTAAAAAAGTATCTTTTTTTTCAAAAAAGTTTTAAAAATATTTTTTAAAATATCATAAAAATTAAAAATGTAAAATAAGGATGTAAAAAGCCTTGAAGCTGTTACACTGTTGATGACATAGATTCCATTACCTAGGTTTAGATATCAAATATCCTTTATATTTTCGTAGACATTTCAAAATTTTAGTTCTCACTTTGTATCATAGTTTAGCACAATACCTGTTAGTCGAAAATTATGTATTTATAGTATTTTATCATCGTATTTGTATCCCACATCATTTATGAACATTTAGGAAAGATTTTTAAAGTATGAAATATTCTGCAATAATGAGAGATAATTAGATTAAAATATTCTATTATATGTAAAATCATATTCCTTCCACTAGTATATAAAATTAAAAAATAAGTCATTTGTTAAGGAGGGCAAATCATGTAGTCACACTATGAAGAGTGTGTGATTGAGAATTCTCGTCCAAGACACTTGTGCTTCATGTATTATCGCACTCTCTTTTTATCTATACTTTAACATTTGACTCATCACTATATTGTTGTTGGTGATTTTATATCACTACTGTTATTTAAGTGTAATGGGGTTAATTTGTTGATCAATGTCACTTTGACAATTATTGAACAAATCGGTATGGTGCGGAGTGCATATTTGTTTAATTTTGTCTTTGTTGAAAGTATACTGCTATTAAGGAGCGAAGACCCTGAACCGACGGGGGTCCGGCGGCAGCGCCCCTGGGAGCGGGGTCCAATGGGCGGCAACCCCTGGCGGGGTCCAAGGGGCAGAGCCCCTGGCTGGGGTCAGCACGGAAATTTTTTATATATGATATATTACTATATTAAAAATGCATCAGAAATTCGGATTTTTGGTAAATGTACCCAGTTTTTTTATTCATGTTCTAGACCCTAATTTAAGTTGGTTTATGACGTTTTGACAGTTTTAGGACATAAAACTGTCATGTGGCAGTTTTAAAACTAGAAGTTTTTCTGGTTATATGATCATATCCGAAATCTGTTGTTGGTACACTTCTTCTTCATAGAATCTTGAACATTCTCTCTTCTGTTTTTCTCAATTCTGAGTCATATCCAATTAAAGATTGGGAGTACCACCCAAATACTTTAATCTGAAAGTGAAAACCACAATTCTCAAAATTTTCAAGCCTTTTCTATACCCCAATTCTTACATATTTCATTATCTTTATGATTATTCATATTTCACATTTGTCAATCATTTAATATGATATTTTACACTGTTAACCCGTTAAAAACAACCTAACGATTCTATGTGACAACTCGAAAAAAAAAATTTGCTTTGAAAGCTCAGTCAGTCAACTCAACTCAGTGACAGACTCAATCCTGCTATCATTTAACACAATTTAGAGTCCGTTTGAGTGTTCTGAGCCTAGTACACTCAAGTGGTGAGTGTTAGGAAATACCAGTTAGCTTCACTGTACAACACTAAAGCCCTAAACTCCAACATGTGGAGTTTATGGCCGTAAACATGGAGTTTACGGCCGTAAACTCAACCCTGGCCGGAAACTCCCCTATAAGACCCCATCCCTTCATTTTTCTTTCATTTCTTCATTTCCAACTCAAGAACACTTCCAAATCCTCTCAAGTATCATCAAGTTCTTCATCTTAGATCATCAAAAACGTAAGTGCTCTTCCATTGATTTGTTGTTACACTTCATCTCCTAGTTACACTCTTTGATTTCATCCATGAAAACATTCATTTCAACTAGATCTTCAAATCTTCAAGTTTCACCAAGAACACCAAGAACACACACTAGTGTTCTTAGCCAAAATCGACCCTTTCAAGCTTCTATATCGTAAGTACTCTTCCCTATACTTGTTTTCTAGTTAAGACTCATGCTTAGAGCCTTGAAAACATCAAGAATGAAGGACTAAAAGGAGTTTACGGCCAAGCCATCTCCCATGGCCGTAAACCCCTATAAAGGTGTCATTTTGGCCATAAACTCTTCCTAAGGCTTGGATTTGAGGCTAGAACACTCCCTTGTGCTTTGTAAGACCTTGAATCATCACCGAACTCATCATTTAGAGAGTTTACGGCCCAAGAGTAAACACCCTTGGCCGTAAACTCCAATTAAGGTAAAGTATTGGACCTTAAACACTTCTAGACTCTTGCTAAACCTTAGAACACTTGAACCCTTAAGACTCCTTACCTTTAAGACCTTAAATGTGACCATTAAGAGAGTTTACGGCCAGGAGTAAACTCCCTTGGCCGTAAACACCTCAACACTCTCCATTGAGTGGGTCTTTCTCATCCACGTGTAGAGCAAAATTCCCTCAAGCTTCCCTAGCCTTCAAACACCATCATATGCAACTTTGACCATGAGTTTACGGTCGTAAACTCCCTTGGCCGTAAACACCAAGCCATGGCCATAAACACCCTTTTGGTCAATCACATGTGATTCCAACACTTGGTCAAAGTGTTTCCTAGTCTCGTGAGGTGTTTCCTTGCATTTGGTTGCTTCCAAGCACTATATTCATGTCAATATATGCCAATGTATGTCATTTAGGACTTGTTGTGTCTCGGGACTTCATTCGTGGAACTTCTCATCCTTACACGCGTATTCGTTGAATCACCCACATCAGGTGAGTTCATACCCCGTAATGAATCTTTTAACTGTTTTAAATGCTTTTAAGGGGGGGGGGGATACAAGTTGAACACAATGATAATTATGTAAATGTTTGTTATAAACATCTTTCAAAAGAATGCTTATGTCTATTATAAGTGATCAAAACATTTCAAAAACTCTCTTAAAGTTATGTTGCTTTATAGTTTAGCCGAACTCCATTTTAAAGTACAAGCATAACTTCGCAGAGAAAGGAGTCTTTTCAATAACAACCCAAGTAAACATACTAGTAAACTATAATAGGTATAGTTTAGAGACTCGGTTCATACTAGATACAATACACGATCATATAAAGAGAACACACAATAAAGAGAAACAGGGAGGAACATACTATAACAAGTACAAAGGGGAAACATACTATAACTAGTACAGAGAGAAACACACCACCCTAAGTACCGAGAAAAGCACGTAATAATATATCTTTCCGAGTTTGTGTTAACTTTAGTACGATTACACGTATCTGGGTTAGCAGACACGAGGTGATAAAATATAATAATATATCTTTCCGAGTTTGCGTTAACTTTAGTACGATTACACGTATCTAGGTTAGCAGACACGAGGTGATAAAATATAATAATATATCTTTCCGAGTTTGCGTTAACTTTAGTACGATTACACGCATCTGGGTTAGCAGACACGAGGTGATAAAATATAATAATATATCTTTCCGAGTTTGCGTTAACTTTAGTACGATTACATGTATCTGGGTTAGCAGACACGAGGTGATACAATATAATAATATATCTTTCCGAGTTTGCGTTAACTTTAGTACGATTACACGTATCTGGGTCAGCAGGTGTGAGGTGATAGCAATATATTAAATCGAATTTATTTATACAGAGCACACTTATAAATATTTGACAGAAATGAATAAATCGGACAATTATACAAAACTTACAGCAATACCAACTAAGTTGTCTAAACGATAGAACATTGAGTAAACAAAACTAGAAACTTTCCAGTAAAGGGTTTAATCCATTTTATTAAACCAGTATAAACTTAAAGGACTTTAGGTGATTAACTCTATAATACTTTAGTTTATACATCATGGTTATATATCATTAATACCCAATAGGTAGTCAGATGTGTGCTTTCCGCCTTACTTCCTGTTCCTTGTTTGGTTGTGGGCTTAGGGTAGATTCACCCAATTAACTTTCTATTTGATATTAGACCATATATAGCCAGTATAAACTAAGTGATTATAGAAGTAATCACTGTGGTCACCATTTTATTATAA